CCCGAAAGAGGGAGGTACAAGTTGGAGTGAAGGGGATAAGCAGAACTGAGGAACCCAAGCGGCAGCTGAGCTCTTGCCCAGAGGTCTTATTTCTCTCCAGAGACCAGGTCCAACTTCAGGGAATGACCTGATAGGCCCAGGGTGGGCCGTGGTGGGCCGTGCTTGAACAACCCACCATCTGTCATCTGCCACTCTGGCTTGGGGCCACTATGCAAGGTGATCTTCCTGCCTCCCTCACCCCACCCCAGGTAGGCAATTCCAAGAAATCATTTACATAATTCTGCTGGGCCTGGCTCCTCCTTGGAGGAGGGCTGTCTTCAGTCTTCAGGCCTAATGCTATCTTGCTGGGGCAGAAGCCCAGAAGAGACAGGTAAAAATTTGCAAGCAAGGCGGGAGACTGCTGGTTCTAATGAGGTCAGAGAGGAGCACCGTGCTGGCGAGCAGCAGCATGTGAGGGCACAGGGCTTTGTGCTTCCTGCCAACTCAGCCCAGAGAAACAAGAAGGCTGGAAACCCAGAGAGCCCGGTCAGCTAAGGTCCTGGAAAAGGTCCTGGACCTGGGGACATAGCGGGTAGGCAAAAGTGTCATTTATACACACCCTCGAGGAATCTACCAGCTTCCTTTTGCTGCTGCTTTAAAAAAAAAAAATCCAGATCTTCAGAGGTGGCTCTTCCCGTGGGCAGAAGCTGGCAGCCTGCCAAACACCCACAGCATCATTGGCGATCAAAGCCTTTTCCCAAAGGATCAACACAAAGCGATTTCATTTCAAATGGTTGTTTCATCACCACCTTTTCCTGGGTTGAGGAGAGAAATGAAAAGAGATGGGGAGGGAATAAAAGAGAAACCCAGTCCCAAAACTCTCCTGATTAGATTGAGCAGAAAAAGAAAAACTGGTGAAATAAATATAGCTAATCCCCTTAGGTGTTTAATGACATATATACATCGTATCTAATTTATTGGGCCGTGGGGTCAGGCACTGTACTATGTTCTTTATATGATTTAGATCATGTAATTCTATGACCCTTGCTCGGAGTCAGAAAACCATGTGCCAAGGTCAAACAGCCACAAAGCAGAGGGGGGATTCCAACTAGAGAGACAGACCCTAGAGTCTCCAATCCCAGCACAGCCTCACAGCCCACATTCAGAAATGAATTCCTGAGGACCCAATGAAGGAAAAGTTGCTGCCTTAAAGAGAAATACCAGTTGAGACAGGTAAGAATTTGCAGACTAAGATCAATAGATTAGAAGCCAGGTGCATCTCGATGACAAATCACACAATTTCCTAGCCTAGATTCTCTATAAATAAGATTAATGCTCATTACTTACCTCTTAGAGGTTCCTTTATGAAATGATCCCTGCAATTTTGAAAAGAGGTTGTATTAATAGATTAAGGTTTTCTGCTTCCCAAATTTATGCAATCTCGAATTTTTCATTAAAAAGACCACGATCTCCATTTCCCTTTGACATAGCAGTTGTGATGACCCATTTCACTCAGATTTAATGCCACTATCATGCGGGGTTTTATATGCTCTGTTTCTCGGGTGGAAGTCAATAATCCCTTTGTGTTCTCAGTCCATACCCTACGCTGCTGTCTCAGTCTGCAGGGTGCCATTTTGATTGTCCCTGACTCAGGGACTTGGTGGAAGGTGGTTGGTGGAAACAGTGTACAGTTGCAAGAGCCCGAGGGTTCAATGCGTCTGCCTCCAGCGATAAAATGTAGATTCTGTCCCTGTCAAGTAACCCCATAAAGAGTGGAAGGGGTCACCATTATTCGTCTGACTCATGCCCACCCCTTCTCCTTTATTCAATAGAAAAGTAACCAACAGAAAACACAAACCCACAAGAGTCATAGATCAAGGCTCACCCCACAATGAAAGGCTTTTCCTGTGTTCTCTTGGCTTCTAAGTATTACCTGATCTTCCACAAATAGCTAAAATATATGGGAAATCTCAATTTTTCCCTCAAAACCAAAGCCAGAAGAAAAGTGATAAGGGGACACGCACAGGCTTACTTCACAGTTTAATAACATTCAGATGTTCAGGAGATGGGATGAAAACTGTGGGTTTTTGACACCATCTAACACTGCACACAGTAGGTATTTTGTTGTTACTGTATGCCAGTGGATATTTACTAAAGGGAAAGGCAAGGAGAAAAGAATGGGGCCCAAGTGTCAAATTCAGGATGAAAAACAGGCAAGGAAAAAGTAATGTGTCTCCAGGATACCTTTGAGCTGATGGGGTTTCCAAATTGCCCCTGGACAAAAAGGGAAGCCCTTTACAAACTGCTTTCTCCTTCTTCCAATCAATGCTCACAGTTTCAATCAGGAAAATGACTCCATTTTCTGGAAATTAATCCAACTCAGAATAAAGTGAAGGGCAAGTCATTAGAAGGTTGGAGAAGCAGCTAGCCCAGAAAGCAGAGACCTTTTATTATTATTATTATTATTATTATTATTATTATGAATTCCACTGAGAAATCTCTCATCCCAGTAAGTCTGTGGATATTGACCCAGACTTCTTGCTTGGCAAGGGCAGTTTTAAATGAAATCGAGACAGAAGAGAGACAGGACAGGTAACCTGCTCACCGGGACAGGTTAACACAACACCAGCATTTCACCTTCCCACATGGTGAGAGCTCTTACACTATTCCAGGAGACTATTCCAGATTGGGGAGTCATTATCCTACATCTGCATCTGGTGTCTTTACTTTCCCAGAGTTCTTGCTCACCCCACCCCCTCCTTGTTCCCTTGTTTCTATTCATTCCATCCACGCTTAAGAAACACTGCTGTTTGGAATGGCTCTGTGAGCTAGGCACATCTGTTACCTTCTGCTCTCTGAATTCAAATGCTGGAACCTCAAACTTAACATTAACGCTGCACCCCAGGGTGCACTTGACCGTCCCTTGGAAACAAATATTTTTTCTGCATTATTTAGGCCAAACTTGAACCTGCATCAGCAATCCCGGAGGCTTGTGACAGTACAGGTGACTGGTCCCAGTCTTAGAATTTGTGATTTGAGAGGTCAGAGATAAATAACAAGCTTTTGTATTTCTAACAACTTCTAGCCTGGGGCTCTCACTTTGGGCTCTGTCAGGTAAAGACTGGTGGTGGAGGGATTCCTCTAGTGGAGTTTGAGAGCTAGAAACCCTGTTTGCTGCACTAGTCTTTTCTTGCAGCCTCTCCTCCCTGAGAGAGCACCTGCAGGCATCAGGATTCAAAAGGCCCTCCCACCAAGCTCTCTTTCCCCGGGGTATCTGAACTTGATATCAGCTTGCTCTCTCACTCAGCTCTCTTACCAAGGTTAAGCTGCTCTATCAGTAGCCTTAGCTCAGGGCCAGAAACCTCAGCCAAATCTACCCAGAGCTCTCTCGCTCCCTCCCTCCCGATTCTCTCACCAGCTCCTCCTTTCTATCCATACAGGAAAGGAGGAGGCTCAGACTTGGAACTGGGGTCCCCTCAGGCCAAGAAGCTCTGTCTCCATCTTCAACACAGTAGTGGTATGGCATGGGCCACCCGCCATCTTCTTTCATCAAATCTTAAGCGTTTCCACTCAGAATTCCAATGCAGACTATTCCTTTAAGAGAGACATAAAAAGCCCCCAGCAAGCTTACAAGCTTATCCTTCCTGATAGATGGGGGGGGGGGGGGGGGAAGGGGGGGTTTGCCTTCACCTTTAATTTTCTTCTTCCTTCCCTTCAGAGCACGGTGTCAGGGTGTCAGTGTCCGGCTGCTCTGGGTTTTGGGGCCAATCAACACCAACACAGATTGTTTGGAGAAAAGAAAAGTTTAGGAGTGTCCCCTGCCTCCTGGAGACGCCAGGGGGGCAAAATGCAGGTGTATTCTCTAGCTAGTCTTCTTTAAGGAAGTAGGTAGGGTAAGACTGGAAACAGACAGGAGAGGTTTCCACAGCAGGAGAGACTGACTGAACTTGACAAATATCAGGCCCTCTGTAATTAGTTATTTACTCTCATA